CTTAAACCCTTTAACGATGAAATGTTGTTTTGGAAATGTTTAACTATTCGATTCCTTTATTCTAGTAAAAGAAATATATCTTTCAATTTTTACTCAAATTTCAATTTTTATAGCAAAACGTATTTTATATTTTCACATGAAGAGTATTCTTGTGATTACCGAAAAAGTGGCAATTTCCTCATAAAGGACTCATCAAACACAAGTTGTTATAGCCACAACACATTGTCACTCCAATTTCTCTATTTTCTACTACAATTTGTCGTCTTTCAGATGTACCATTAATAACGAGATAAACAACGTATAATAAGTAAAGGTCATATTTATATATTTATAATATTGTCGTTTCGATATTTCACGTAAATTTATCGCTTCATTTCACTAAATTTTCACCAACAAATAACTCAAAATATTCAGCAGCTTCACTTTCTTTTAAAAATGCTAACGCTTATCAAGAAATGAAAACTAACATTCTTAGCTCGTTTACAAGATTCAAATTGGCTAAGAAATAATTATTACATTTTAAAGAATATAATACCTTACGTACTTATGCACTTAATAATAATAATAACTAGGTTTATGATGAACGTACATAATATGCAATTTCCAGTGACATTTCTAACAACATCATCTCAGAATCAAATTATCGACGAAATTAGTATTATTATTAAAATTATTATACCCAAAACAACGATCGTTCCATTTATCTCGCGTGCCCCTCAATTTCACTTGCTCCTTCCCTCGCGATCGCTCCACCGTACTTCAACAGGGCATCCCGAACGGTGTTTCAAGGAATACGAAATTTCACTCAAATACCGTCACAAACTTCATTCTTTATATACACCTCGAATAATTTCGAAATTAAGGGTTACCGTTACCGAATTGAAACACTGCCGCAGCGACCTGCTGCACCTCGATTATCTTATATAACGTTACGCAATCGCCGAACCGTATCGGTTCCTGCACCTGCAGGATCCATCGCCTGGTCTGTAAATAAAAGACACGAGCCGCCCGATATCGTCCTTCGGAATTTATGAAAGTGAAAAATCGCTTTTACTTCTCCTGCTCCAGACGTTCTTTTAATCAAGTGCACCGTCCGCCCGCTTCAATTCCCGTGACACCTTCCCTGTTCGAAATCGCCATTTATGAAGGGTGTTTCCAAAGTTCTGGGGATTTTGAACTGACTACAATGATGCAAACGTAATGACTAACGCTTTTAGATACAGATGTTGATCAAAATGATATAGCCATTTGACGAGTACAGACGTGTGATTCTTGAGTGTTACTTTTGCACTAAACCTGGGTACTTTTGAAATGATATTATTTGAAGTATTATTTTGTGTTTCCAAAGTTCTGGGAATTTCGATCTGGCTGGAATAATGCAGAGGTAACGACTAATGCTTTCAGAAACAGACACAATATTATTTCAAATAACATGTTATTTTATTTCATAATTATTGTCATGCCTTTAATCTTTTAATTTTTAGAATAGAATTTAGAAATTAATAATTCTTAGAAATAATTGTGAAATTTTTCTTCGATATTGTGTCAGGTGACTAGGTTTGAGTTTGGTTTATTGACATTTTTTATTAGAAAATAAAATAACATGTCATTTCAGATGTGATCACAGGCATGGAAATGATTATGAAATAAAATGCCATGTTATTTTAAATATTATTTAATTAATTTAATCATTTTTATTAATTTATAAAATACCAGGTTATTTAATTATTATTTTATTATATAATTTGAGAAGTGCCCAGTTCTGGGTATAGCTACTGACCTCGACACCATGATCCACAGGCGACTGCTATTTTATGATTCACGGTGTTCGCGTGTCCGGATCATCCGTAAAAATTTGAAGGTGTCCTGCACGCAGACTGGGAGGGGAGGTGGGGAGGCAGGGTGGAGGGGATTAAATAAGGCATTGCCTTGCCCGAAATTCGCCCGAATATTCAGGTGATGGATATATAAAGGGATCCTGTGCCCGATGCTTCTAGTCAGTGCAGTGTGAAGCTCTCGTGAACACGACCACGTTTTTGATCCCCCCACATCCCTTTTTTGTTAAACGAAAAAGACGAGAAAACCGTGAGAGAAAGATATATCGTGTATCATCATGATCCGATCGGTGAGTTTCGGGGATAGTGTTGTGAAGGAGCATCCGAGTGTTCTTCACAGGTGGTTAATAGACAGGGGAAATTGTGAATGTATTGTATACATATATACCTTATAAAGAGTGTTCTAAATTCTGGGCTCGGATTTATTAAATCTGTATTACAGTTCTGAAGTAATACAGGTATTCTAAATTCTGGTCTCGGATTTATTAGTTTTTGTTCTATGTGGTCTTATATATTTAAAGTTTATTCAGTCTTATTTTTGAAGCTGTTATTTGCTACCTGAACACAGTTGATAATAAATGCAACAATAAATTACAGATATTTCGTCCATTGGCAAAAAATTTTAGTGAATCGTAGAATGTACTGTTTTTGCGTGTACAAGATTTATGTGATTGTTAAAATTAACTGTATAAAATAAATCTATCGATTGCTTCACTTGAGCATATAGAATAATTCTATAGTTGTGTTATTAAAACAAAAATAGGTGTATCTATTTTTGTTGTTTAGTGGTTAGGTGTGTGAATATCTGAACATTCTTTGAGTAGTTGTTTGGGTAGTAATAACATTTGATATTTTCTTGTGTTGTTTGTAAATTCCACCTTTATTGATGTTTGCTTTGTATTTGTTATTATTCGAAGAGGTTTTGTTAGAAATCTTTAGAGAGTTTCCATATTGGAGATGGAATACGATTCCCACGACTCGATGCCATTAAACCATTATTTTCATCGGAATACATTTACATAGAGTTACAATATAGTTACAAGAAAGCTCGGTTTTCGGTGCTAGTAGCTAGTATATTGTTCTTATAAGCAGTGTTGGTCAAACTGTACTTAAACAACTTGTGACAAATAACAAAGATAGATAAAATTCTAATCGTAAATAATGACTAAGCTTTTTATTTGATCGAAACTTACCACAATAAGGCTACAAGTAATTTGTTTAGAATTTTTTAATTGCAAATAGAATATTATTTTTTATTTAGAATAAAGTACCAAACAAATAATACATTGCTATTCTCCCATATTTGCTTTATTTCCAAAATCGACTTATCTTACTAAAATAGCAATTTGACGGACCACTTATCAGTCTAAGAATATAATGCTCGTCTGATTCAATGTTTCTCTAAAATCCAACTTTTCAGCACAACGTCTCAGTATAAAACCTTTTGTGAAATCATTTTGCCAAGAAAAGAACGGAAGAATGATGACAGAAATAATTCTTTCCGAAGGAACAGGAAATTTTACAGAGAATACTGATTTGTTTAACCTTTGACTTGGCTCGCAGGGTTTAACAGATCCCAGCCAGCTTTAAACGTTCATACATTGTTATTTCAATCTTGCGAATTTCGTGCGGTAGTATAGTCGAGTTTATGTTATTAAATCACAAGAATTGAGATGATTCTAATTGTTCTTAATGAGAAAGTACTCCTTTACATTCTGTTTTGTGTTCAGAATTTAAGAACAAAAATAATAGTAATAACAATAAATAAAAGAAACAAGATTATAAATAAATAAAATACTAAAAATTATGAACTAAATCTATAAATGTATATATTATAAATTAATAAATAAATAACACTAAGGGAAAATTGCATTCTATTATTATGTAGATGTTATATATATGGTAAAAGCTTTTAAACATTTACGTTTATACATTTAGAAAATTATGCAATAAAAGAAACATAGTGGATTTAACTTTGGTTTATTATAAACGTTTTGTAGAAAAAATATATTTTAAATAAATCAAAATTAAACAAAGTTAAACAAAATTAACAAAATGAAAATTATTCCTTTTTTGTTTTTAATTTTATTTAACACTTTTTGTAACTTTCTTGGAAGAAAATTTTTGTTTTTCCTTTCTTCTAGTTTTTCTTTTTTAATACGCTTCTTTAATTCTTCTTCTTGAAAGTCTTATTGTTATATAAAATTCCTATAACAAAAGAAATAAAATAAAAAGGTGATTTTTAATGAATGTTCAGTACGCGAATCGCTCAGGTTACGGTTGTATCAAAATAATATGATATTTATGTACGAAATATGTAAAAAATACTATGTGCTTCCAGAATTAAATATTGCTATTAATATAAAAAACACAAAAATACCTACTGTAACAAAACGAAAATAATTTTTTAAGTCATACACTAACTCTCTGGTCAATACTGCTCGAGTGACTGAACAATCGTCCAACGACTACGCAATCAGCATTCTCATGTACCAGTCAATAAATTCGGTAATTTCGACATTAAAAGAAAAAGGTTTTATTACAACAAAGTTGATATCAATTCTGGAAACTTTAATAAATTGAAAAACCCTTTACTTATTAGAAACACTCGAATTATTTATTATTTACGAGCTTGAGAAAGGCCCTCTCAATGTTAGCGAAACATTTACGAAGGCATTCATGTCGCCTCAAGTTCATGATTGCTAAATGATAATATTTTTCTTAAATAATGTATCGCACTTTGCGAACATTTGTATATGATTTATGATAAGAAATAACTAAGCATAATTATTTTCTATCTTGGAGTTCGCTATTATTTTTAAAAATTTAATGTTAACAAAAATTCACGATAGTCTCCAATCACTGGGACATTTACCTTATATGGCGAAGGTACAACCGAAAATACCGGTATAATACCGGTATTTTACGTTTCGGTAGAAGTCCCTGGTTGCAGGTAGTTATCTTGTGTGCCCTAGCCGCGGTACCACCTAATATAATAAACCACAATTTTCCAATCAACACATTCAACGAAACAAAAGACTCCTCTAACAATACTCCCTGCACACAATTTCCTGAAATACCATGAACAAACAGAAAACAGAAATAGAACTCTCTGTGGCTTTTAATTGTTGTTAAATAAAAGAGATCTACAGGACGGTTATTTCAATGGAGTTATCGTTGTTGCAGGTAGTTATCTTGTGCGCCCTAGCCGCGGTACCACCTAATATAATAAACCACAATTTTCCAATCAACGCATTCAATGAAACAAAAGACTCCCCTAACGACACTCTCTGTACACAATTTCCTCAAATACCATGAACAAACAGAAAACAGAAATAGAACTCTCTGTGGCTTTTAATTGTTGTTAAATAAAAGAGATCTACAGGACGGTTATTTCAATCGAGTTATCGTTGTTACAGGTAGTTGTCTTGTGCGCCCTAGCCGCGGTAGCAGTCGCTATTCCATTGGTCCCGGCGGAGCCGCCGATTCCTATTCTGAGACAAAGCGCAGACGGTCCGAATCCGGACGGCAGTTACAACTACAACTACGAGACAGCGAACGGTATCCAAGCGCAAGAGCTCGGTTACCTTCGTTATGCCGGCACCACAGGCGAGGCTCGCGAAGCCCAGGGCAGCTATAGCTACACCGCGCCCAACGGCGAGGTCGTTCAAGTCAGCTACGTCGCGAACGAGAATGGCTTCCAACCCCAGGGCAGCCACATCCCCCCGATACCGCCGCAGATCCTCAGAGCCCTGGAGTACATAGCCGCTCATCCCGAGGAGAACAACGGTGATCTTCAATGAAGAGATCGGACAGACGCGTCTATGAATCAGATTCTGGCATGATTCCGTCTCTAAATACAGTAGAAGCGCGATAATTGATCATTCCGAGGGTGAAATTTCCAGGAACTGATCAATTAACGGACTCCAATCACAAGTGCGAGTTCTTTTTGTTAATCGCCTGTTTACTTATTCGACGTAGTTACATATAGGGTGGGTTTGATGTAACCCACTTTTTGATCACCTTACTATCTCCGTTATTTTTAGAGATATTGAAAGAGTTTATTCACAAAAGTTATTGAGTATTGAAATATTTTATTGAGACAATATTATATACACTACAGTTTCTGTGATGAAAAATGTGTGAGCTAAATGGGACGTCGTATATATTCTGTTCCTTCCTTGCTGGACGACAGAGTGGGGTTCGCGCACGTGAGTGAGAAATACAGTTGGGTACTGCTGAGTTGCCAGCTCCAACAAACTGACCCGCACAGGGGAAAGATGGGTATTTCGCCGACCAATGGTTAGCACTGCAAGACGCTACGTCATTGCTACGTTAGTACCACGTGATTACTCTGTTATCGCTCTATCTCACTTGATCTCGTGTGTCCCGTTCGCTGTTTTTGTAACGTATGAATTTGATTGGAGGGCTTCTCGTGAGCTTCCAAGTATACGCGTGACCGAGGGGCGTTCCTAGTGATCAATTAACGGACCCTCGATTCTCGAGCTTCTACTGTAATGCACAACGAAACGAAGTACATACATACACATCGTACGAGTGTCACAATATCGATAGTTAACACATTGATCGCCATGATTGTTGGCGGCGCCACTGAATCGCAGTATGTAAGTGAAAAAAGTATTTGCACACGGATATATATTTCAGTAATTTCAGAGATTTCTAGGTTATGTCGTGAATGATTCCGTTGCTTCGACCTGTTGGGTTCTGTGGTAAGCTTTCGAAGAATTGTACTTTTTTTTTGTGTACTTGTCAGTTTGGTCAATGTATTTAGTATTAGAGATCGGTATGTGCGAATATTTTTTTATCCGCTGTGTATGGAAAAATGATGAATTTTTTTATGGTCACATTTATGATCTTGTAGATACGATTAGTGGCTGAGTCGTAATTCGAGTAACTAGTGTACAAGCAACCACGTGAATGTTTGTATTTATAATGCTTGAAACACAGAAAAGATGGAATTTATTGGGACATTGTTCCGCTAGTAAAATGTTAAACAATTCATTCTTGTCGGATAAGAAATATCTTACTTTTTAAGATTGCGATTCTCTTGTTCATTCGATGATATATGGGCAATTCATTCGTTACCTTTTATTTGCCATTCGAAACTATTTTTACATATAGTAAGTCTGCCCATTTCTGATTTGAGTTGTGGATTGGGTTCAATCTCCATGCTGTTTAGCTAAGATTTCTAAATTGGGATGTATCGAAATTGATCGTTACCCACCCTGATCAAGACTGTTCTCGATCACAGAACGATCCACAAAGCCTTTGGTGTCCAACCCTTGCGTTTCGTGGTTATCTTTGTATTTATATGAATTCTCCGGTATTCGCCAGTCTTTTATTTTCGTTTTTTTTATGTATTGAAAAGTATAAGAAAATAAGGAGATTTTGTAAATAAATTATATATTAATATGTCCGTGTTTTTTTTATTATCGATGAGATTTTAGTGTGTATCGAATAACATACATGATACTTTTGATAATTATTAGTTTTATCAGTGAGTAAAGAGAAATACACATGTGAAAATTGTTACAAATTTAAACACATTATCTATTGGAAACAATTCAATTTGGAACCTGTGGGTCATCGTTGAAATTTTCAACAGGACCATGTATATAATCAAACTTAATACCTGTAATACATCAGTTAATTAGCAATATCTTGTAAAATATTTAAAAAAAACATCATTCAAATAACAGTTTTTCATTTTGAAAATTCAATTAATCAAAGTCGAGAACAGTTTACAGAAATTACTACTTTTTCTTGTAACTAAAGTTAACATGTTGCCTGCGGTACTCTGTTCATCCACCTTCATATGCGCTAAAAAAAGCAACATATAACAGCAATAGGTGTTATCATTATTTTCATCCACCCCCTGACATACTTTTGTTTCAGTATTCACGTTACGTTAACGTTAGTTTAACTATGACGGAGTTCGTTTCACGCTACAGTTTAACTAATAAAGAGGAATTACTTTTATACAGATAATCATCAGTATATTGCACCCCCGACAGAAAAATGTCAAGTCAAAAATTTTCACAAGTAAAATATCCTCTAATACATAGATCCACCAACTAGAGAAATGTCATAGGCTTAAGGTCAATATTCCTAGAAAAGGCGCACTAGTATCACTTCGTTTAATATCTGAAATACTACGTAATGAATCAATTTTTTCGCTTTCCTGAAAAATTACAGATCTTTTTGATTGGTCACACTTGCAGGGGTGCGATATAAGTAAAACAAAATACTACAGTAATATATCCGCGACTCATACACAATTTTTTAAGTAAATGGTGAATTTTTCATTGATACATCGAATAGTTTAGAATACAGAATCAAACTGATTTTAGGTCAATTTTCTCCTCGTAAACACGGTTGAAATGAGTTTTTAATGCATAGCACTTTAAACTCTTTCGAAATGTCTAACACAAAACTTTCATTTCAGGGTACTATAGTTATTATTAGACTGCGGATTTTTATGCAAAATGATATTTTCTAAAGCAATTGATACAGAAAAGAGCAAATGTAGGAATTTCTTTCTTTTCTCAAGTATCATATGCGGTTCCAAATTAACTAAAAAACTTATTGGATCTGATGAAAGTTTTGTCCCTTGTTGTATTTTACAGACCCCTATAGGCTATAAATGCATAAAATCCGCAGTCTAGTTATTACATACGGAAGATCTAAGATTATATACTTTTTTCCAGTGAATAATTGAAAAAAACTGTAACGATTATACTATACGTAAGTCGTTCGCCAATTAACAAGATACTTGTTAGAAAGAGAACTTTTACACGATCAATAAAAATAAAATAGCTAAAGGGAGAAAATAGATGCAACCATGAAGAATTGAACGCATAGATTTTTTATACATTTGAGTATCATAGAATAGATTAATGTTACTGAGTATTCTGTAATAATATTGAAAAATAATTAAGTTCTACTTATCGACTAAATTAACTGATCCGTATGAAAATGTATATTCCAACGATTGTTCGAAATCAAAATTCATCTCGGTGGGCTAAACATCACAATATATTACTTGCAACTAATCAGAATCGATTTTATTTAAACTCAACTAGGTCAACAAACTTCATCTACTCTCGAAATGTCTGTTTCAGTTTCGTATGTAAAATCTACAGAGAAATCTAAATAGCTAAATTAAATTGGTGATTATTACGAACGTCTTATCTATCTAGACAACCTTTTCTTAAAACAATTTCTTGCCAAAGGTGTCAATATTAAAGGTTTACTGATATGTTAATAACTCCAACGTGAGTTTCAAACGTACTTGATTTATAAACAATAAACTAATACTTGGCAAATTTTCACCGTTTTTAAATGTAATATTTATAAACAAATTTGTCGGTTAGAGTATCCTGTATTAGCGGTAGAAAACAGAATGTGATGATTCCACGTGAAAAGATACGTTAAATAACACAAGGTATTTCCGAAATGGTGGCACAACCCGAAAAGATCTGATTCTCCATACAGAAATAGTTCGAAAATGTAGAATAACATTTTATCGTACGATGTTTCTTTTCCAGGGTAATCAATTCTCAAAATTCATCTAACACGTAGACATGCATTCCTGATCCCTGTATCCAAGAAATTTTCAAGTTCGATTACCTCAAAAACGTAGCATCACCCAAAAAATTTTATTCTTTTTTTTACTTATTTTTTCTTATAGAATCACCTCCTATCCGGTCATATTACTACCCGACCTGAGACGCCCCATATAAAATAACATTTTCCGTAACTAATTTCGATCTAATGCGACTGCACTAAAGTCTACTTTCAGTTAGCCATGGAGTACAGTAACGCAATGAGAAATATACTGAAGCACTTTTCATATATCAAAGTCTCAACCCAATATTAACAGTCAATCCGTCTTCTTGGGGCGACGTTAATAATACTTGAGGAATATGGGTCATATCGCCTAACCCAGACCTGTGATTTCAAGGTTTCAATTAATATGGCCCAAATGATTCTTGGCATTTAAATAAGAAGACGGAAGGTATACAGGTAGTATATGGAAGCCTTGTCCTGAGAAAAGTATTTGTGCGACTGATATACAGTGTGGACCACAAACACGAAACGTGATCAGCATAGATTATTCATGCTTAACAATTAATACAGACGTTATAAATTGAACTAAGCAGTCGTTTCTTAACACTAAAACTACCAGCGTTAAATGGATACTAAATTGAATTGTATAATATATCAGTATTTGAAGTATATATATAGAATTATATGTATACATAGAATTATATGTATACATATAGTAATACATTAAAGGTAGACTTGATACCCACGAAAGTATCTTAATAATTTCAATAATTGTAAAATAACAAATTTGAATTCCGTCATTTTGACGGGCTTGGTAGCCCTACTGTTAATCAATTCCGCGAGTTGAAGTTAATGGACATCGTTTTAAATGTCATTTTAATTAAGGTAACTGATATTTTCTTAATGTTTCTTTGGTTTAGAAGAAAAAAAGTATTTCTTATGATGCTTGCCGAATTCATCTCAGTATCCGCTAAAAGATGAGCGTAAACAAATTACAGGTTTATTTATAAAAAAAAAACTGAAGGTGCCCTTGAAAACTCTGTAAAAAGGAGGTTGACAAAAAATGTAAACTCATCGTAAAGCTCTTCTTGAATCATGTTATACTAGCCAAAAGAATTTTTCGATCGAACAGCTAGCACTAAAATAATCTAAGCTGATCACGTTTCGTGGTCCACCCTGTATAAGCTAATCGTAAAACGTGTATGTCTCGAGAAACATCGGTTAGTTTCATTATCCATTTCTGATGCCTACAACTGCTTCAGTGCAGAAGTACATTCCCGCTTCTAAGTATTGGGACACTTGTCAAATACGCAGTAAATATTCCAGTGCATTATGAAATTGCTCGAAGTCTGAAAGAAATATTGTTTGCGAGATATTCAACATTTATAGACAACATTTATGCTACTGTGAAGTAATAAATGTTGCCTAAAATATATAATTCCTACGAAACATCACATTCTCTTCACTCACAAGGGAAGGCACGGAATTGTCCCCCTCCGATTTTGATGAAACTTCGTATGTCCATTAAGCAGTCAAAAATAAGGGATACATATTTTCTTTTATCGGCTGAGACGCGACTTTGAGGGGTGAAACTACTCGTCGAAGTTTCTAACTGCAATTTTTTTGTTATAAACAAATTATATACTGGACAATTTGTTAGCACCATATTATTCTACATAAAAAACCGCAAACCTCGTCCATTAGAAGTTTTCATATATCCCCTTTGGTTTTCGAGATAGTACTTTCCGGTCGAAACTTCGAGGGGTGGTTTCACCCCTTAAAGTCGCGTCTTAGCCGATAAAAAAATACGTATAACTTATTTTTGACTCTTTAACAGACATACGAAGTTTCATAAAAATCAGAAGGATACACTTCCGTGCCTTCCCTTGTCAGAGCAGTTGTCCTAATACTTATAAGCAGTAGTCTACTCAGTTATAAACCAAACGCAATTATCCAAAAACGACTTGAGGCAATGCAAAACGTTGTTTTACATTTTCCACCAATTTCTTCGGGTAGAATCACCACCTTTCCACCAATTACAGGACAGTCCGTCTATTCCACAATAATACTAATAACCGTGGATGGCATTCAAGCAAAGACACTTCCTACAACCTAGAACAAGCCCAACAATATCCAGTTCAGACGATACGGTATGCTTGACCGATTCGGTAATTGTGCTGAATCGCTAATAAAGCAGCGTCGATAGGATTCCTTCGGTTTGATCACATGAATGCCTCTGTCGGTTGTTATTAATTGGGCAAAATTACCGAATTGTTAAAAAAAACCGTATAGTCTGAACCGATTGTAACCTGTCCATTTCAGACTTCTCTAAAAGAGTGTCGTCTCGAGCCGCAAAAGAAATTTAGTCCTCTCGCCAAATAAAATTTTACAAATTCGCTGTATCTTGTCTAGCATCACAGCAAACCAGTCGATAAAAAAATCTCCACGTGTCCAGAACCGGTACAAACGAACACGGTGGAAAGATCGGTCGAGAATACGATTCAGTACGACACGTCTCGGGTATTTTCTACAAAAATACAAATTTATTCGCAGTCAAATTACAGAAGTCTAACGGAACCTTATAGAATACTTAATATCTAGAAAACGGAATTTCAATTTCTCTGGTTCGCCCGTAGCGACTTGAACTGTCGATTGCTACTCGGTCGTACGGCGTTCTGTTGGCTGGGCGAGTCTTTGGCTGGTTCCTCCGGCTCGGGAGTCGACGGTTGCTTCGCGATCCATTCGAGCGCCTTTTGTATGGCCGGTGGTATCGGAGGGGGCGTTGGTATATGGCTACCGGCCACTTGGGTGCCGAATTCGTCGGCGGTCCAGCTGATTGCGATCGGCGTGCCATCTGGTGCGTTGTACTGTACGGAACCCTGGATCAGTTGGGTCTCTTCCGGTGTGCCTGCGTATTTACGACTTCCGGATTCTTTCTGCACGATACCGCCTTCCGTTTCGTACGTGAACGAATAATGGCCACGGTTGTCGCCCAGGTCACGGTTGTCGCTGATGATCTTCTCCGGCTGCCGGAAGTACTCCTGGCAGTGTACCGCTGCGACAAGCGCGAAAAAAACCTGTAATTTCGATTAAGATTTAGCTGATCGTAGGACGATTGAACGTTGAGGTTTGGTAGATTGTGAGTCAAGGTCGAGATACAGTAAATCATCGATGAGTGTTACTAGAGTGTTGTTAGATTTTATAGATTAATGGCTTTATTCGGTTGAAAGAAATGGCATTGGCTTCAGAATTCGAAGATCTGTTACTGTGCTCAACCTTAGTAAAAATTCAGTATTACACCGGGGATCTTTCCTCGTCAGTACCGAGGAGCCTTCGAACACTCATCGATGATTTGCTGTATTTCTTTTGGGTTTTATTTTGGGTTCGAAATGGTCGTAAAGCATCGAGGAACGATAGCACATTTATATTTGTCGTCCTTTTATAGAACAACCTGAAATTTTGATTAAGATTTAGCTAATCGTAGGACGATTGAACGTTAAGGTTTGATAGATTGTGAGTCAAGGTCGAGATGCAGTAAATCATCGATGAGTGTTCGAAGGCTCCTCGGCACTGAACATATTTTATACATTAATGGCTTTATTCGGTTGAAAGAAATGGCATTGGCTTCAGAATTCAAAAATCTGTTACTGTGCTCAACCTCAGTAAAAATTCAGTTTTACACCGGGGATCTTTCGTCAGTACCGAGGAGCCTTCGAACACTCATCGATGATTTACTGCATTTCTTTTGGGTTTTATTTTGGGTTCGAAATGTTCGTAAAGCGTCGAGGAACGACAACACATATTTATATTTGTCGTCCATTGTACACGATTGGGCTGTAAATCTTTATGTAAAATGATTTACTATTAAGGACAAATTGTTTAACCTTCATCAGGGTTGAGTGGAGAAGAGCCTCACAGGCTCTCAGTATAGAATATAACTGAAATCAATAACTCTCAAATATTTGATATCTTTTAATTCACCTTATTTATTTGGTAAAATAGTATCATGGAATTCTTAATTGTTTATTATGGAAATGTTGCCCAATTTGGAACATCGTCTAAGTTGGACCACTAGTAGAGATGGGATAAAGTATATTACAAATAGAATCGAATCTAATTGCATAGTCCCGAACATTTCATAAATACTTCGAAAAACGAGTGCAATACTTTTAAGTAGACTCGAACCCAGACGAAAGATGTTCGAAACAAGTATATCTGAACCCTGGCCGAGTAAATTCGAATCGTTCGTGAGTACTTCGATCAGAAATTCTCTATTTCTTGCAATTGTATACAATTTAGCAAATGATCTAAATTACATTTATTTACCCACATTTTTTTAACAAAATTAATTGGTTCAAAAATTAATTCAATCAGTTATTCGTATCTCACTAACACTTAGAATTCGAATACTACTTGTGTAGAATTCGAATCTTTTTAACATCAAACTACTTACAAGTACGTCTTTGAATCTACTGGTACACATTCTAGAGTTCGAAATCAAATTATATAAAATAATTACATTTCAAGTATACTCATTGAAACTTTATTGCTTTTGAGTAGTAATCGAAACCCATTAAATGAAACTTGGTTATTGAAATTGGTCATTGACTTGGATACGTAAATACAAATTGAACTTGATCCCAACCCTAACGACTACTATAATTTGTCGTGTGTAAGCAATTTGAGCCTTGCGATAGACAATATGTGTATAATAGTGGTGATTGCATTAATTAACTTGTTATCTCTAAGCAACACGTATTGTCTATCGTAAGACCCAAATTGCTTACACACGACAAGTTACAGTTATATTTCGAGTCAAATACAATTATTATTTGTATATGTTATTATATTATTCGTTAGAAGAGCCTTAAAGGCTCTTCTGTTCGGATGAATGTTAAAGATAAAAACAGTGATTTGTTTAGTCACCTAAGGATTTTATTGGGTCAATAGTAAGACACCATCGATGTTAACTATCAGACACGACATCCACCTGAGCTTACGTAAACATTATATTAGTGTAAATTAGGATTTTGAATTTTTGATCATTAAGATCTGGAAAAGAATAAAAGCAAATTGAACTCATAACATATTATTTACAGTAAAAGTTTCTCAGAAATTGAATGGTAGTAAATGCAAAAGTGAGAAATAATTTTTTAACTATGCAAATTTGAAACCGTTATGCTAGCTAGATAAAATGTTACAGACAAAACAATGTTTCGCTGATTTAAATTCGTACTAGCATGATGTCTGAGGATTAAATCTATTGCAATAGTTGGGTATTATTTAAGTCGATCGTTACTTAAATAATTTTCGTAATAATAAAACTATTTTCTTATCTGGAAGTTCCAGTGAAATGAATATCATCGGTAACAGTACCATCAATAAGTTGTAATTAAAGTGTTAGCACCCATGTTTATACATTTTCATATAAATAATAAGAAAAAATAGTGACAGAGTGTACAGAGTGTTTCAGAAAACGTGGTATAACCAGGAAGGGAATGATGCTTCGTGTAAAAGTAAGTTGAAAATATAGAATAAAATTTGTTCGTGTGATGCTTCATGTTCAAAATAATCAAATTTGAAAATTTGTTGTACGCGTTTGCGACTGAATATAACTTTACTAGTACGTCTGTTCGTTACATTCCGTTTCTACTTATTCCCAGTACGAATACAATTTTGGATAAATCTTAACCATAGGAACAATTTTTATCCATATCAACAAATTTTATTCTATATTTTTAACTTACTTTTTTCGTGAGGAATCACATACTGTATAGGCAGAATGTTTGTTTTTCAACCAATAAGTAAGAAATAGTAATCTAATAATTTCATTATAAAACATTACAAGATTTCAGTTTTTTTTTTTCAAATGACTATATCTTCCTTTCGTTTAGATTCTTCTAAATAAGAAACAATTCTTCATTCACACAATTACTCGAGTAAATATTCATTTAAATAAAACTCAACTCCAATGTCCACATGTTGATGGGGTATACTTTTACTTTAAGATTTTTTGTACCGTTTAAGTAATACGTGGGCTTGTCTAATGACACATCGATCGATTCAAATGTGTCGGTAGGTTGTTTCGAAAGGGGCTACTCGTCGGTAGTCAACGGACAGGACCTATACATGAGGCACACAGCGGTAAGAGAGTTACCGGTGATTGATGCTGGTAACTTAAGTTGCATCATATATAATGGTCGCTCGAAGAAAGTTGATAGAATGGTCCAACTGATTCACAGAAATAATCTGTTCGGGAACATTCTCCTGAGAATGCTCATCTCGAGTTGTCCATCGATTGACGACAGATACATTAGCGTTCCAACGTCGTGTTTACGATTGCAGTAAACCGTGTAGTAAACGTTAAATATTTCAAAATTGCCTATTTCACGGACAGGAATGTTAAATGTCTGATTATATTTCTGTCCATCGACACATTTCTTTTAAACTTTCACCGCCCATTACAGATTTTCGTATCCCTTTGTGAATCGAGGGAAAATTAATATACATAGTTGAGAATTGAGAGTCTGACTAATTTGTTTATTTGTTTCGAGAAAATTAACTTCGAATCGAGAGAAAATTCGACAACTGATTGGATTTCACTGAGCATAAGAATCGACAGATGATACTTGTCTCTTTCCAAATTTTATTAAAAATGTGCTTGATTCAAATCAAATTTAATGTAAATGTAATTCCAGGTGAAAGTCTCGAAGAAAGTATTTTCAAGAAGGAGTTCAAAATTGATATTTTAGCGATTTCTCGATCTATACACTGTCATTGCAAAAATTTCGAATCACTTTTCGCATCGAAGGAAAAGCAACATAACCGAGAATCGAGAGTATCTGACTAATTGTTTCGAGAAAATATTAACTTCCAATCCAGTGAGAAAATTTGTCCCCAATATGATTCCACTGAGAGAAAATTAGTATTAGCAGTTGATTCCGTGTTGTAGGACATCAGTGTGCATTTCACAATAATTTTCATTTCGAGTCTTTAAATTCCAAGAATGAAATTGTACCAACAATCTTGTAATATTTCCCTTTCATCAATACTTTCACTCGAATCTTCAAAACATGCATCGTTAAGCTTATATTTATGCGATATTTTTCCTCATAAAATATGGCGCTGGTCGTTTAATGCGACAATATCACCATAGTTAGAGATTATGTTTATATTCCCTAATTGCATAGATAGTCTAACTGTTTATTCATAATTCTTTTTTCGTCTGTTGGATCCGTATGCATGCTGAAATGTGAAAGTCGGCCAGCTATAACTTGTAAACGATGCTCATAATGGATACAGCAAGCGAGTTGTATTGAGGTCTTCGAAATTTCATTGTACATCCAATGAAATGTAATTAGTAAATTAGCGAATAGTTGATGTTTTATAGTGCTCGTCGAATATTATTTATTCTAAAGACAAAGTGAATAGAATGTGTTTAAAGTAAAATGTGATTATAGTGAAATTGTACGTGTCTAGTTTATAATGTGAAAAAGGTAGAATTTAGTTTATTAAAAAAATATTTTCATTTTTTTTATGAACACTTGATAATTAGTTAATGAAACTAATAATAATGGGACATGTAATCAACTTCTGATAAAAAATAGTTCAAAAATATACAAAATGAATTATTTTGTAAACAGTAATAAGTTTTCATAAACACTACACAATTCTCTTAATGTTAACTTTAGTTACTGAATTAATTGACATTAACAAGTACACATGTATCGATTTCGTTCCTACTATGTAACGACTTTTTTTCATATCTTGGACATAGTTTAGATATTGGCACAACATTACAATCATAACATTTACAAATCTTTAGTTAAACATACAAGTAAAGATATAAGCATTTAAGCATTTCAATATTGTCAGACTTCATTTGTTAGTCATAAATAACTTCCTTCGTAAACATTGAAAATATATTGAAGAATAGTAAAATATCAATAATAATAATAAATATTTTCTTTTCATTTGGATTTCCAAACAATACACAACTGTTCGTTTAAATACTTATTTAAGTAGAGCTTAATTCAAATCATTCCCAACTTGCATGTTATTGTGAATTGAAGGGACGAAATGGAATAAATCACTGCTTTATCCTTGAATAAATAAGTTATTTCATAAAATATCATTCCGCATAAAGTTCCACAATCTAGTTACAACTTGTAAAGTTTAATTGTTATGGATTAAATGTTATCCACACATGTTACTTTTATTTTACAAGGCTTAACCCGTATTACCCGTTTATTACAAATACAATAAAAACTTACAAAACGATAATTCCTTTCAAATATATCAAGAGGATTTATTCATCAAATGTGAACAAAATTCGGCTTTATTATCGGCTTATTATGAATAATACCGTTACAATGAGAATTATTATATATAACTATGATAAAAGTAAAGAAGTTTACAAATGGCCATGAATGAAAAGTGGCATTAGACGGTTTCAAGATGGCTCAATCCATATTACCCGTTCCACAGGACGATTCAAGAAATTCCACAGATTTCCCAGACACAGCAGGAAACCCGGTATAACCGTGACATTTCTCGCCATTTATTTCTCACCAGCTCAATATTCCGTTCCGTTCGTTAACTCTGATGAAACTAATGGCTTGTGTTCCAAGTAATTAGAATCGAGAAAGGTTGAATCTATCGGAATATTAATCTATCCTCGATTAAGCCGTAACCAGACCGCATGCAAATAAAAGTCGGTGCACCTATACATTAATCTCCATCATATTCGTCCTGTAAATCCATCGAGGATACCTTTCTCCGTGAAAGGTCAGGGCAAGACAGATGTGTTAGTAGGTAGGTCATTATACTCATTGCGACCGTTAAGCGGTAAAAGGAACAAACCAGACTCGGCTTCGATACATGCAAATCCATAAGATATACAGAATGTTTCCAAAATGGTGGTACAGCCCGAAGGGATGTGATTCTACATGGAATAATAAGTCGAAAATGTCGAGAAACATTATTTCGTAAGATGCTTCCTTTCCAAGATCATCAAATTTAACACAAAAACTATTAAACCTGTGAAAATAACGGATTTCAGATTTCTTAGTTTACGTATTACTTATTTATTTTATTTCTTTATTACTGAATTTAAAATATTCATTTTGGTGGAATTTATGTTGGTTTCTAAGTTACAATATATTTTATGTTACACTATATTATACTAAATTGTACTGACCGTTATTTATATTACTATATTATACAATGTAATTTAATACTCATTCGATGCTGGTAGTTCTAGTATTAGAAATTCATCTGACGCGTAGGTATTCATAGTGAGAATAACTAGAAACAGAATACAATGAACAGACGTGTTAGCAGATTCCTACTCAATTGCATGCGTGAGCAGCAGATTTTCAAATTCGATTTCCTCGAAAACGAAGTATTGTGTTGAAACAATTTTGTTTTACAATATCAACTTATTTTTTTCGAATCATATTCTTTCGGATCGTACCACCATTT